TCAGTGTACATATGAATCATTTATGGATAAAATATTTATAAATTATATTTGCTTATTCGAATTTACAAAATTTACATAATTTAAAAATATTTTAAAAATAGAACTTAAGTATAAAATATTTAAAACAATACATGAACTTATGTATTTCTATTATATACTTTAATTATTGTTATTATTCAAATATTCGTAAGTAGACCGTGAGCAGAGAACCGAGTGTGTTTACACTATTGTTAGAAAATTTCCAGTCCATAAAAAGAAACGTGTCCTACCTTGTTGGAAATTTTGATATCAAGTCTTTGTCTCTCACATGGACGAAAATCAAGTGGTAATTACCCAATAATTTTCTATTGGAAAAAAAATGAATTAGGCTTAAGGTCCACGAAGTTTTTGGAGGGTGCTAAAAAATATCTGATTTTATTGACGCGGTTTGTTGATCTATTAGTCCAAAATTTAAAAAATCAGATAATTAAAAGAAGTTATTCGACCAGGTAAGATACTCGACTTGATTTTTCTCGGGTAGGTGGGTTGGTTTCGGACTGAATTTTTTTATAACTGGGTATCCGACCCAATCTAGTAATTTTAATATATATATATATATATATATATTATTAGTTTAAATTATATTTTTATTTTTGGTTCCTTAATATTTTTACCTTAAAATTAAATTTAAATCTCTAAATTCTTTTTAGGTTTGTATTATGTACTTTAAAGTTTTAATTTTTTTTATTTTTTTTATTAATTTGTCGAAATGAGATTTGAAAGAAAAAATCATGATCAATATTAATATTTTTAATATTTTATTTTGGAAATAAAATTTAATATATATACATATATATATATTCAAAAAAATTATCCTTATAAGTAACTTCAAATCACTATTTTTTGTGTATGGATTGTGTGTATTATGAACATTTTAAATTTTATGTATTTTCTATGTGATTTAAAAAAAAAACAAAATATGAACAAAGTATCCGGATTTAACAGACCGAGTCACGGGCCAAAAAATATACTACCCGGAGAATTGGATACCCAGTATTCTGAGTACCCGAATTTGAACCCGTATTTTTCAGATCTAGAAAAACAAATAAGTTTTTTTTTTAAAAATAAACTCATTAAAATTTCAAATAGTGAAATTAAATTTATATTTTATTTAAATAAACATTTAATATATATATATATATTGAAATTTTAAAATAATTTTAATAAGTTTTTTTTTATATAAATATTTGAATTTTCAACACAAACATTCGTATTCAACAATTAAATTTCATATATTTGGAGTGTTGGGTCTCATTGTAAATTCCTTAAGAAATTTCGTTCGAACATGAGAATGTAATTCTTTTAATTCTATGTACCAAATTAATAATGAATATAAATGTAAAAATATCAAGATATTGATGACGAGCTTGACTTGTGATAAGATCAACTAATAATACTTTCATATATTTTATAATTATAAATATATTTTTTAATATCTAAGAAAAAAATACTCACTCTCTTTCATAAAAAATATCTCTTATTAATTTTTTAAAGGTCAAAATTTTTAAACTTTGAGTATGATTATTTTAAATATTTAAATTTTATAAAATATATATTTGTAAACTACTTGATTGAAGGTTTCTAAAATATATTTTTACATATTTTTATCAATAATAAATTCTGAATCATAATTAGTCAAAGTTTAAAAAAATGACCAAAAAAAATCAACGATAGACATTTTTTTATGGGAAAGAAATAGTATTATTATTCTATAATATTTGGATCATTGTATCAAAAGACAATAATGCTATTCACCGCTACAATCCAATGTATATATGTTTTTTTAAAAATAAATTCAGAGTCAATATAAGGTATTAAATATTTTAATATTTTTAATATTTTGATAATAAACACTCATATTCTTGTATACGTAGTACTCGAACTTAAAATCTCAAAAAATAACAAAAAATACTTCAACTATTAAAATTACTTGGTCAGTGCACATATGAATCATTCATATTAAGGTTATGGATAAAATATTTATAATTTATACTTGCTTATCTGAATTATAAAATTTACATAATTTAAAAATCTTTTAAAAATAAAACTTAATTATAAAATATTTAAAAAAAATTATTTAATGAACAATGATTCGAGCTTTTGTAAAAGGCTGAAAAGGCAAAGAAAATAAAAGTTTGGGACCGTGAACCGACCTAATTCGACCGTGACCGGCCCTAATTCCCAGTGCAAGACATTGGGCCATCTGTTGCTTCTCATACTGGGCTAGATCATTATATACGCCAACTCAAAACCCAAACATGCATCATCCGCTTCCATTTTTTTTAGAAATATACATTTGAGTATTTATATTTGATTTTAAATTTAATTTATTATTTACATTTGAGTATTTACATTCGATTTAAATCAAAAAGCCAAGTTTAAATACTGACTTGAATAAAAAGAGTTCATGTATGAAATTGAACATTAAAGTAAAGTTTGGGTACTGAAATATATTTACCACTTTTAATGGAGTAGAAAAATTGTTCAAATATAAATATAAAATCGCGTCGCAGCAGCACCAGAAATCCGAATCGGGATACCGGTGTCTGAGCTTTCGGAGAATCCAGATTTTCATTTTTGACTTTTCTTTCGGCTATTATCAAGGATGGTACGTAACTCGCCTTTCATACTTTGATCTTGTTATTAAGATTGTTCGGTGATTTTGTTATGTGATCTGTTTTCGATCTTTCTTTAATGCAAAGCATGGATCTGTATTTTTCTTGCTCATAGACGCTGTTTAAGCTTTTGATTCTGTGAATCATGATTTTTATTACTATTTTATGATCATATTTCTCGAATTTAAGCTTTGCCCTTGTCGTTTCTCTTCGGATCTGCTACTTGATTGTGCAGAAATTTTGTTTTGTGTTTTTGATATTGTTTGTTCACTGTAAATATTCCATTTTGACAGTTGTAGTTCACTGTAAATGATTCATTTTGATAGTTCTTCTAATTTATTGTTAGATCCGGCTTATTTCATCTTTTTTTTAAATCATATTCCATCGTACTTAAGCATTTCTGTTTAATGTTTGCCTTGGAATTTTGGAATATTCGAGTTTGACGACAAAATTCTGGTCATATCTATAATTTTTCTGTTTGATAAAACCTTATTGTTTTAATGGTTTCACTTTTCATTGAGACATTAATCATATTGTTTCTCCCTGGGTGGAAACTGTAAGGTTATTATTGATATGAAGGAAAGGCCATTCTTTATACTTTAGCTGTTGAATTTTTTTTCCATGAAGAAGCATGCTAAGAGGATGGCCAAAGCCTCATGTTACTAGTCGACTGATGTAACTACAAATTCACATAGATCGCATTATGTGCTTGAATTTATGACTTATTGAGGATCGGCTTTGGTTCTCATAGTGCGAGCAAAAAATGGTTTTATGTTAGTTTTGGGATCTGATTATCACAGTGATATATATATAGTCACACATATGTTGTTCTAGTTTTACTCAGTTATCATTGTTTATTTCCACTTTAGAAACCTAAAATGAAGATTCATTTTTTCGGTTGTTGACTTGTTATATTGCTAGTATCTGTAACCTATAATAAGCCTCTTTTGTGTTTCAGATTCACTTTGTACTTTTAATTAGCCGACAAGGGAAAGTTAGGTTGACAAAATGGTATTCTCCTTATTCTCAGAAGGAGAGAACAAAGGTATGACTAGCACATTTTATTAATTGCATTGATTAGATTTTTGAAGTTTGCACTTCAAGGAAAATTACTTTATAATTATAAGATTCTGGTGCATTTTTCTTTATCTTTAGTACTTTGTTGATGCTCTTTCTGAAGTCGGTCTTGTCTTTGTTATATTAATGCTTTATGAAATGCATTTTGAGAAGGTTATCCGTGAGCTCAGTGGAGTGATTCTCTCAAGAGGGCCCAAACTCTGTAATTTTGTGGATTGGAGAGGGTTTAAAGTTGTTTACAAAAGGTGATACTACTATCTGTTAGTGAGTCTACTTTTATGAGGAATCTAATTTACCATTTCAGAGATTTATCAACCGAGTTTGGATAATATGCAGATATGCTAGTCTTTACTTCTGCATGTGCATTGACCAGGATGACAATGAATTAGAGGTTCTAGAAATCATTCATCATTTTGTTGAGATACTTGATCGATACTTGGCAGTGTGAGTAAACTTAAACAAGACTTTTCATTGAATTATTAACATTCCAGTATGTTTTCTATGATTGTGAATTAATTTATATCCAGGTCTGTGAATTGGACTTGATCTTCAACTTCCATAAGGTACAATTATTATGCTTGTCATGTACCTGTTGTTAGGTCTCTTCCTCTTCTTTTCAGAGCAGTTTAAATCTAAATCCTTGTGTTTTATGTAAATTATGCTCTCGTCATGTACTCTTTAGCAACAGTTATCCTCCTACTCCAGAACCACTCCATTCTTCTCATTCTTTAACATACCATCCATATCCTCCATTTGTATTTAGTTAAAGCATAAACTCTAAATCTCCATACTCCCATACCAGTGTGTCTCTTGATTTTATCCAGTCTCAACTCAACTATCCTAAAGAAGCACAAAGCATTCATCTTTTGAATTGATTCCAGTCAATTGAGGGTTTGTAGACCGTTTTCTTCATGTATGGCACCATAATTTTTCCTACTTTCCAGATAAATACCCCCCGAAATTGTTATCCTTATGGTGGCATGTTAACCATGTTGTTGAGGAAAGGCATTTCAACCCCCCTCATATTTTCGTAAAAATTGTAGTACTTCTGAGATTATGAAATCTTTCTTCTTCATGATTCAGAGAACAAGCATTTACATGAGAGTTCTTTTAGAACAAAAGTTGTTCATGTTAGCAAAGTATTGCTTCCATTTTTAGAACAAAATGTGGTTTCTGAAAATAGGAGGGTAAATAGCATTATTAAGGATTATAGATCATTGATGTTAATAGAGTCTTTGAATAACACTTTACTTCCATTTGACATTGAAGGCCTACTATATATTGGATGAACTCTTGCTTGCCGGCGAACTTCAAGAGTCAAGCAAGAAAACTGTTGCACGTTTAATAGCTGCGCAGGTAGAAACTTTACCTTCCATCGTAAAACATCTTGCATGTCGGGTGTCGTAATTTCAGATTTTCTGAGACAACTGCTTCGTTGAACCATAGGATTCATTGGTGGAGACGGCAAAAGAACAGGCGAGTTCCATTAGCAACATAATTGCACAGGCCACAAAGTAGTTTATGACCGGATTGTCATTCGTCTTTCGAGTTGATTTTGGTGTATCATCTGTTTTCTGAATTTCATCTTGGAGAACTTAATTTCATGTTTATGATTGTAGATTTGGGACTGGGTTTTGGGGTAGAATTGATCACACACATAATCATATATCAAGTATGTATATGGTCTTGCATTTGAGCTTCAAGCGTTCATTTGTTGGCTCACATATTATATCATGCGTGTTTTTTAAAATAATTTTTTAAAAAATTTAAAAACAAAATATATTTTCTAATAAAAAATAATTTAAAAATCTCAAATCTTACAAACTTAATGCTTAAAACACTTAATATTCGCATGAATCTTAAAATCTAAAAATGAGTTTCGGTTTAAGATTGAAGTTTTAAATAGAAAAGTATCGAATTAAAGCAAATTCGCTGGTCGATGTATCAATAGAAAACTTGTTGCAAGGACAAATTGATAGGTTTGTTTGAGAAGTTATAAAAAAATTCTCACTTAAGTACAAAATAAAAACGTTCGAGTAAAGGGTATTATGGCTATCGATACTTTTGGATTTCTGGTGCAGGTTTTTTTTATTGTTTTTTTTCTTAGTATGTGGTTCTACCGGATTTCTTGGATGTTAGCTTTTTCGATGTTTTGTTTCTTTGTTCGTGTATGTTGCATTTTGTTGGTTTTTAAAGCAGTTAAAGGGGGTTCGTTTTTTATTCGTTTACTTTGGATATTTTCCAAATTTTCCTTCTCTATGTTTGGTGTTTAGGGATGTTGTAGTGATTCACCTTTGTATGTCGTTGTCTCCATTGTTCACGTTCTTGCTCATTAAGTTGTCATTGATTGTTTATCGTTATATTTTGTTTGTGATAGTCATGAATGTATTAGTTAAGTATGTATATGACAAGACATTATTATTTATGTTTTATTTTATTAATGAATACATCACCGTACTACTTAAAAAGAAAGAAAGACACATTCGAGTAACATAAAGATAGAAGAAAATGGTAAAATGAAGAGTAAAATATTATGATTTTTATTCAAAACAAATGAAATATTATCTAGCGATAAAATTAAAAATATATATTAAAGATTCAATAAAAATAAACAAATGAATAAATCTAGACAAATCAATTAAGAGAAATTAGTTAAGCTAGTCTATTAATATTTTTATTTTTATTACTTTATTGTTTTAAAATATTAATTTTTTTTTGAAAGATAGATAATGATATTATTATTGACGTGACATAATTTTATGATTCTCATTATTAAAAAGTTAACACGATTATTCAGTGTTAAAACAATGAATAAAATTTAAGTTTGAGTACCAACTTGAGAGAATGTGATATTTTGAAAATGACACTCAAATCTACCACATAAAGAGAAAGTGTAAAAGATCAAATGCATTTTCGAAACCATTCTTTTTTTTTAAAAAAAAAGTGATTTTTATTAAATAATGTCACATTGCTCGGGTAATTAAGCACTTTTTATTTCTTTCTTTTAAATTAAATATAGAAATAAAAATTATAATTTAACCATTTTTACTATAGACAAAGAGATTAAATTATTAAAACTATTCATTTTCATATAAACAGTTTTAATATCACGTCTTCTAATTGTATTTATGTTTTCGAATGAATAAAATTAAAATTTAATTTTTAGACTTTTGTTATAATCTTTATATTTATTTTAGTTATTAAAAATCATTATCAATTTAAAATAATTCTTATATATTTATAATATTTTGTTATTTTTAGGATATATATAATTTTAGAATTTTTAAATAATTTAATGGTAACTAGTGTTATTAATGACAATTACATTTGCAAAAAAAAATTGATTATGATTTTATAAATTATAAGTTTAATTGATCTATAATTGAAAGAGAATCCAATTGATTTTGAGTATAATTATAAGGGTTAAAAAATAAATTTAATTTTTTGTAGAAGAATTTTTTTTTCAAAATTAAATTGGCATTCTATTAATATATAATACTTATCTTACTCAAAGAATTAAATAATTATATAGATGTAGATGTAGATGTATTTGTACGCACGTATATATACTACTTGAAATTTACATCATAATCCTTGATATTTTCATTCCAAGTTTCCTACGCATCAAACTTTCTAGAAATTACATTGAAGTCCTTTTCGAACCGGTTTAGTTTGGACCGTTCGGCATAAAATAAAAATAAAAAACCACTTCTCTTTAACTTCAAATACCGTTTATTGCACTGATCAAATCTCTCTTCTTCTGCACATTGATTCCCTCATCAAATCTCCTTCTCATAAGACTTCAACGGTTTAACCGTTGTTCTGAAGCAACGAAGGTGAAAGAAAAACACCCTTTAATACCTCTTCTGTAGGTAAGAACAGCATTGTTTTAATTCTGGGTTTTGCTTAAAAACGGTTGATATCTTTGGTTCCAAGTTCTATCGTCAAATCCAGTCAATTTGTTCTTTTTTTCTTCTCTTTTTTAACTGTCGTTGATTTCCCAGTTTTGTTTCCCTTCGTCGATGTGTGTTTGTTTGTTTATTTGAACTTTGAAGCATGGGATGATGACTTGTTCTTGCCTCTGTTCAATGTCTAAATGCTTGTTTTGCTCATCAATGTTATGAAAAATATTGGCTTTATTCTGGGTGTTTATTGATGTGATTGTGGTTACGAATCCAACTTTGTTTTTTTTTTCTGCTCTTGTCGTTAATTTTGTTTGTTATTTATGAAAATCATGTAAATTAATTTTTTTTTTGCCTTGGTAAATCTGGTGAATGTTGGGGTTATTGTTTTGCGACCTTCACATGTTTGTATGCTTGAATGGAGCGAAATGAGTGTAGTTCTTCTTCAATTCTTTGTTTTTGGGATGTTAATTGAGTGTGGTTTGTTTATTTTATCAGTGAATCTAATTAGGATTTTGTTTTTTAGAGCAGGAGAAAAGTTAAGAGAGGAAACTTAGATTTGAATTTCAATCGTCCAAAGCTTATTGTTTGATGGAAACCGGAGGGAATTCGTTACCTTCTGGAGCTGATGGCGTGAAGAGAAAGGTGTGCTATTTCTATGACCCGGAGGTGGGGAACTATTATTATGGCCAAGGTCACCCTATGAAGCCTCACAGAATTCGAATGACTCATGCCCTTCTAGCACACTATGGGCTGCTTCAGCATATGCAAGTTCACAAGCCCTTCCCTGCTAGGGATCGGGATCTTTGTCGCTTCCATGCTGATGACTATGTGAACTTTCTCCGCAGTGTAACACCCGAAACACAGCAAGATCAGCTCAGACAGCTCAAGCGCTTTAATGTCGGTGAAGATTGTCCCGTCTTTGATGGCCTTTACTCCTTCTGTCAAACTTATGCAGGTGGCTCCGTTGGTGGTGCTGTCAAATTAAACCATGGTCCATGTGACATTGCCATTAACTGGGCTGGTGGCCTGCATCATGCAAAAAAGTGTGAGGCGTCGGGCTTTTGCTATGTCAATGATATAGTCCTTGCAATTCTGGAACTTCTTAAGCAGCATCAGGTATATGTTCAAAACCTAATTTCCTTGTACTTTTTCTATCAGTCTTTTCTTCACTGATTTAGGCATTTTTTTGTTTGTTTTTTGTGCATGAGTAAACTCTTCATAACGAAAGCAATATCTAATTATTTCCTTCTTGTACCGATCTTATCCTGTTCAATATGATATGTCTTGACCTGAATGACTGGTTTAACTCCTAGGGTCTAGGGATTTTTGTTTCTGCATGGGAAACAGTTTCTTATGGAATAGTCTGTCATTGATAACGCTTTTCCTTTATCTTTCTTGTAGCGTGTTCTATATGTCGATATTGATATCCACCATGGAGATGGTGTGGAGGAGGCATTTTATACAACTGACAGGGTCATGACTGTTTCTTTTCATCAATTTGGAGATTATTTTCCCGGTACGGGTGATATACGTGATATCGGATATTCAAAAGGGAAATACTATTCCCTCAATGTTCCTTTGGATGATGGGATTGATGACGAGAGTTATCATTACTTGTTTAAGCCAATCATCGGTAAAGTTATGGAAGTTTTTAAGCCTGGTGCTGTGGTTCTTCAATGTGGTGCTGACTCTCTCTCTCTGGAGATAGGTTGGGGTGTTTCAATCTTTCAATCAAGGGTCATGCAGAGTGTGTTAAATTTATGAGATCATTCAATGTCCCGTTGTTGCTTCTAGGTGGCGGCGGGTATACCATTCGGAATGTTGCTCGCTGTTGGTGCTACGAGGTAAGCCAACCTAACACTTTTTCAATTGAATAATATATACTGATCGGTTTAAGTGATTGGCCTACCGATTGTTTTATCAAATGTTAATACACTGTAAAGGTGACTTTTAGGTCAATGTTTCTACTCCTTCCTCCTCAGCCTTCACTCATAATTCATCTTTATCCCTATATATATGTAAACACTTCATAGTTTTTGTACTTCGAAATGACACGCAAAAGGTATTAAATTTCATCAGAAGACATTAGACATCGGTACTAGATTTATCGAATACTATTTATAATTTGCTTGTGGTGGGTTACTTTGTTAATGTGAGCAGACAGGAGTTGCATTTGGAATGGAAGTTGACGACAAGATGCCTCAACACGAGTATTATGAGTATTTCGGTCCAGATTATACTCTTCATGTTGCCCCTAGTAACATGGAAAACAAAAACTCGTGCCGGTTACTTGAAGAAATTCGTAATAGGCTACTCGACAATCTCTCAAAGCTTCAGCATTCGCCAAGTGTCCATTTTCAAGAAAGGCCACCTGATACGGAGCTTCCTGAGGTGTGTTCCGCCGCTACTTATTTATAGGAATTTTGCCATACCGGAGGAAATTTATGACATTTTCCATTCTAAGTTTTTCAATGTTTCCCAGAATTGCATGTGCTTTTATCATGTATCCATGGTAGGCATTGCACATTTTGCTTAAATGTATTTCCTTTCTATGTTCGGGACATTAGACATTCACGACTGCCTTCTTAGACAACTAAAGCGTTTCGTAAAGTGGGTTATTTTGCTCGAATCTGAGAAAACAATTGTGCTATATGTTTCTTTTGGAGCAGAAATCGTCTTTATTCTGCCAGTGTAACGTAACTGGTTGTAGTTTGCATCGATACATTTCCTTCAGTTTCTTGATGTTGCACGTTAGCTTCATATCAACTTTGCCCTCAGACTTGGTTTCTTT